TGTGAAAAGTTGTAGAAAATGAGTCTAGTTTACTCATAATTTTTATCATGATTTTTGGAAGCCTTTAACTTGTATTAATATACTCATATTCACAGACTGGTCCGGATTTGTGTTTGAAAAGACAGGTTGTTTTGTAAAAATCACCATAAATTGTAGAAAATTCGTGTGGAGATGTGCAAGTAGTCATTTTAAATCTAAGAAGTGGAACTACTTGCACCTAAAACAGTTTTGAAAACTAGAATGTTTAAGTTGTCCAAAACAGTCCGTGAATGGAGTTGAACTTTTCTGATGAAGGCTGTTAGAAAAGTTTAGTTATGTTCTTGGTGTTTTAACTTGTATTCCCCCCCCCCCCCCTAAAAACTTGAGAAAACATGAAAATGTAGGGGTATGAACTCACCTTGAGTGATTTCAGTAGATAAGTGTTGAAGAAGAGAAGTGTTCAACCCAAGAACACTTGAAGATTCGAAGATCAAATGTGGAGGAAAAACCCAATATCAACCTTTAAATCTCGAATTCTAGAGAGAGGAAGTTTAAGAGGAAAGTGGAGTTGGATCCTTGGTGAAATGAGAGCATGTGAAAGAAAATGAGGAGAGAGGATGGATGTTCCATCTCTTAGAACGTGGGAAAGGGTGATAATTGAGTGGAAATGACATTGATGTGACCTAGGTAAGGTGGGGAGGTGTGGCTGGTCATAAAGTGGGTGTGGGAGTGGATGCTTGTGTCATAAGGTAAAGCAAAGTCAACACTCCACCTCTTTGTACTTTACCCACTAGCTTTTATTATTTAAATAAATATTTTCATGAAAAGATGATTAAATTGTGAATATTTAGGGTTCATTATGTTAAAATATGATTTTGGGTGAAAATGTCGCGTTAAAATAATTAAAAACGGGCTTAAAAGGCAAAACTAGTCGAAAACCGGGAGAAAAAGCACTTCCAGCGAGACCTCTCGGTCCTAGGCCGAGGTTCGGTCCCTAGGCCGAGATTCGGTCCTTGCTGGTGCCGAGCCGGAAGTGAAAGGGGCGAATCAGAAGAAGCGAAGGCGAAAGGCTCGGTCCGAAGTCATGGAAGCGAAATAGACCGAAGGTGGTCAGACCCGAAATGGACCGAAATGAACAGTACCTTCGGGTTCGGGTGGTGTGCGAGGTTCGGTCCTGAGAGGACCTTTTGTGTTCGGTTCTTCCTGGGCGAGGTTCGGCCCTGAGAGGACCTTCGGGTTCGGTTCTTCCTGGGCGAGGTTCGGGTCTGAGAAGGCTCTCAGGTTCGACTCTCCTAGTTTCGGTCCTTAGCAAGTTTGGTCCCTATAGGGACCTTCGGTTCTAAGAGGCTTCGGCCCTAATAAGAGGGTTTTGGGTCCTTAAGCCTATTTTACTCGTTTTTACCCCGTTTTAAGCCGTTTTTGACCCGGTTAAGGGTCGGGATGGCCCGAAAGGCTGTAAAAAGTTTAAGGAACTTTTGAGAGAGATTTGGGAGAGATTTCACATTCTTGGAGAGATTTGGGAGAGATTTGACATTCTTGGAGAGATTTGGGAGAGATTTGACATACTTAGAGGGGTTTCTCATACAAAGAGAGATTTGGGAGAGATTTCACATTCTTGGAGAGATTTCTCATACAAAGAGAGATTTGGGAGAGATTTGACATGCTTGGAGAGATTTGGGAGAGATTCTCGATTAAAGTGAGATAGAGTGAAAATGATTGAGAGAGGTTTCGTGTGTGACAAATGTGAGTGTCCGGCTTCGCAATGCAAGGTCCGTAAACCCTGTTAAGCCTTGTTTAAGGATCTTACACACTCCTGATGAGTATGCAACACTATTTTATCGGTTTGGTTTGTTACTTACCACGGTTTAGGTTAAGGAAGTCTAGATGTACGTACTTTTCGATTTATGATCTCTCATCATAATAGCGAGTTGTTTAGTAAATACATAACGTAAGCCCTAGTACACAAGGGTTAGTTGAGTTGACCGGTTTGACTTGTTGACTTTATTTGACTTTAAATTGACCAGAATTTGACGGTTGTCACACACACACACACACATATATATATATATATATATATATATATATATAAAGAGAGAGAGAGAGAGAGAGAGAGAGAGAGAGAGAGAGAAAAGAGATGGAGAGAGAGAGAGAGAGATAAGTTCAATTGAGAAAATAAAAAAGGTTGAGAATTTGGGAATCATTCTCAGTCAGTCATTTAATTATCATCTTAGCATAAAATACACAGTGACAAATTTGTAAATATGATATATTAACCTTCAATCACAGATACCATTTCTTCTGGATCATTTATCTGTTCTTCATCAACATTATCTGTTATTCATTCATCTCGATTGTTCCTCTGTGTTCTTCATCAACATCATGGTATATTCATTCATGAATATTACACAATATATTCACATATAAATAATATATAGTATATACACTTGTGAATATGATACAATATATTCATATTTAAATATTAAATGATGCATTCACTTGTAAATATTGCATAGTATTTTCACTTGCAAGTATTAGATGATATATTTGCTTGTGAATATTAGATGGTATATTCATATGTGAATAGGGAAAATGTCACCGTAGCCCCACGAACTCACATTTTGGTTTAAAAGGTCCCTATTGTTATTTTTTGGCTATATAAGGGCATGAATTCTCTTTTTACTGGCTAATTAAGGATTTTGCCCCAATTTAACCGGTTTCTTTGCCTAGTCATCACCTAACTCAGTTACAGAGTCAACTCACCCAACTTAAATGACACATCAACGACTCACTAACGAGTTTCCTTGCTTGGGCCCTAAGGGTACAGTGGTCACCCAATTTTCGTTGCCAAATTTGTGAGATTCACCAAAATGTTAGGTTGTCAGCCATCTCATTGTATCTTAACATGAAATCGAATTAGGGATTTTTGGATGATGCAGAAGCGTATGGATGAAGTCCTTGACCTAGATCTCGCCATCGAAATGGTGGAAAGGGCATCCAAGGCCGGGGGCAGAAGCCAGAGCCAACGAACAACAATTGACGATGCTTATCCATGATTGTTAAATCTTTTGCTCATCTGTTCTGGAATCGATCTTTGTGAGTAATGGCATTATCGACATCAATTTTGATTTTCTCAAGTGATTCTTTGTTTAAAAAAGTCTATCTAATCATTCTCGTTTCAACATCAATTTAGTTTCTTGTTTATGTCATTCGATCATATGAAGATTCGATGTTTTAAAGTTTTGAAAATACAGATAATTGTGGTAATGAACTCTACTGATGAGTTGTTTGATCTTAAAATCGATTTAAAGAAGTGGGATTTGGTGTTTATGATGTGCTGGGTTCCGACTGGTTAATTTAACTCACAGGTTGTGTCATACGAGCGAATGAAATCGTGATAGGAACTCAATGGAATGAAATCGCGTTTGTAAGGGTGTTCTTGTGAGTCAAACTAAAAAGGTCAAAATTGGAATTATTGATCTGTGAACGGTGTAATCGGATTTGAAGTATAGATATCAGAAGCGCAACTTTCATATGCCATCGAAAATTGAACAAATGTTCTTACGGGTCAATGGGAAAGTCAAAATTATGTTACCTGCGAACGTTCGGCTTGGAATTGGCGTTGTGTTTGATCGATTTGGATGAATGGGTTTGTTGTTGGATACTTGACTTATCTCAAATTCTCAATTAGGGGTCGACGGATGCAGCCTGCTGAGGTGTGCCAAGGAGTACGAGTATGTCTCCAGCGGTGGCAGTGGTTGTTGTTTCTTGGAGTTGACTTTCGAAATTGAGATGGAATGATAACGGGGGTTAGGGTTGGGGCAGAGTAAGATGAAGAAGAAGCAATGATAAAGAAAGAAAGAAATGATGAATGCTATTTTGAGGGGAAGTGATGATAATGGCGATGGATTTCACATGGTTGTTCTCCCTCAATTTCGTGCTTTCCTGTTTGTATACATTAGTTGGCATATGATCTGGCAAATGAGTTGGCTTTTTTTAATGATGTGTACAATATAATTGGCTGATTGTGAAAGGGGTGACCGGGTGACCCCTTCACTTTCTAGAAAATGGCCTTAAAAGCCGGTAAAAAGAGAATTCATGCCCTTATAAAGCCAAAAAAATAACAATAGGGACCTTTTAAACCAAAATGTGAAAGTTCATGGGGCTACAGTGACATTTTCCCTATGTGAATATTACACAGTTTATTCACATATGAATATTACACAAGATATTAACATATGAATATTACAATGTATATTCACAAATATATATAATTTTTATATGTTATTCACACATGAATAACATATAAAATTGTATATTTGTTTTGTGTTTTAATAATCATATACTGATTAAGGTGCGAAAACATATTCATATGTGAATATAACGTGATAATTTAGTTCATGCATTTTATCAAACAGTTGGAGTGCATACAACTAAGCTTTTTTTAAAATGCTAAAAACATGATATTTTGACTATTTAAAACTTACAAAATAATAGATTGATAGAGAATTATATTATATTTTTCAAAAAAAAAATGATTTGATGTTTTTCTAACCATAATTTCGAAGTTTTGTTTGATGATCGATGTTGAATGAATGATATGAAGTGAAATTGTTGTTGATTATCGATGATGTTGATCTAATGACACTGGGAGTATAATTAATCGTAGATATTGAAGATAAGCTACATAGCGAATAGCGGTAAATAGCGACCGCTATTTCGTAATTAGCGATAGGTATACAAATATTAAAAAATATATATTATGTAACTATTATAGCTATTATAACCAATAAATAAGCAAACAAACCATTAAACTAGCTAAATAACTTAACCAAGTTAGTTTTTAAACATAAATAACAAAAGGCAAGTCTAAAGTCTAAAATCAAAAACCCAAATCAAAGATCATCTAGATCTTCATAGACAGGCTCATCATCATCTTGAATAGATGACGGCTCAAAATCTTTATAAGCAGCTACATCATTTTCTTCTTCACCCAAGTTATTGTCATCATCCTCATCTATTAATCATCTTCCTCTGGAGCTCGATGCGGACTTGTCAACAGCCCCCTTATTCCTGCTTCTTGTAGAATAAGGTGGCTCACATGCCCCAACAGCATCTGCAACTTGACCCCATGTTAAATTCTCACCCTCGAAGACCGGGGCATCTTCCTCCTCTTCTTCACCTCCCATCAACCACTCAGTCGGATCTAGAACATTTGCATCATCCAATATAATTGGGTCAATCGTATCACACATATTGTACCTCCTTCTTAAAGCATGATTATACTTGATATAAACAAGGTCATTTAACTTTTGTTGCTCTAGCCGGTTTCTTTTCTTAGAATGTAACTACATAAAAGTAAGTTAAAAATTATAATTATACAATAAAAGTATATCTATACTTAAACTCACAAAAACCGAGTTACTTACATGTTCAAATACGCTCCAATTCCTCTCACAACCTGACGAGCTACAAGTAAGACTTAGCACCTTGACCGCAAACTTTTTTAATGTCGGGGTTGATGCTCCATATTGCATCCACCACTCCGCTAATTTAGCAACAAAATAATATAAAGAATTAAAGATATGTTAAAATTTATAATTATACGAAGTATATTATTTTTATATTATTTACCTGGTGCAATTTTTACTCTCATTTTCTTCGCTATCGGGTTCCCGAAGATCCCTTGTGCACTTCGGTATATTGGGAGCTCGACATGAATCTTCATCTCCTCGTCCTCATTCAATGCTAATTTATGAATGCACGACATCAATCCATTCATCACTTCATCATCATTTTCCACATTCGGATTTTCATAATACAGGGTCGGATTCAAGTGATGCCCAGCAGCATGCAAAGGTTGATGCAATTGGCAATTCCACCTCCTATCAATGATTTTGAAGACTTCTGCATACTTATCTTCTTTGTTTTTGAAAGCCTGAGCAATCGCCTCTTTTGCTCTATCCATCGCCTCATATATGTAACCCATTGGGGCTTTCTCTCTCCATCAACTAACCGAAGCACACTTAACAAAGGACAACCAATTTTCACTGCAATATCTATATTGTTCCAAAAGTTAGGTGTCAATATAGTATTTGCCGTGTGCGTGCCTCCGTCCAACTTTGAAAACTTGCTTCTGTTCCATTGTTCAGAAGTGAACATTTTTTTTCAATTCCTCTTGTTAGCCTTAAAACAATTTAGGGTGATGAAAGTTGTGGCAAATCGGGTCTTTGCGGGCCTCACCATGTCCTTTTTCTCGGTGAACTCTCTCATCATATTAAGTAGCAAAGTACGATTGTAAATATACATGTTCACCGCGATTGCCTTATCAAGTGTCCTTTTTAAATGTGGCAATTTGAAGATGTCTTCAAATATCAAATCTATGCAATGTGTTGCACAAGGAGTCCAATAAATGTGCGGGTATTTCTCTTCCACAAGCTTGCCATGCGTGCGCCAAGGTGCGCCATGGCGTGAGGCATGGCTCCGCCGTTACGAAAAGCCTCATAACGTTGCTATTAGGTGTGGCGCGTGGCAAGGCGTGATATGGCGCGCCATGGCGTGTTATGGCGCGTGTTTTTTCGTTTGAGACATGGTTTTTTGCTCTTTGTTATGTCTTTTCTAATAAGAGATACAAGTATTGTGGTTTTTGTTAAATTTTTGTTACTAGTTATTGATCTAACACTTCTAAAAAGTAGTTATATTTAATATAAATTTATATTTATGTGGTAATATAATTTTAAATTAATACAAAATCGCCGCCTTACATCACGCTTTGAAAAACGTCATGGCTCGCCATAACTCGTTAAGCTTGAGGCTTGACCTTGCCGCCACGCCGCGCCTCACGCCATTTAGAACCTTGTTGCCAGCAAAAACATTGTTGCTAGCACTATCTGTGACAACTTGAACAACATCACGCGGGCCGACTTGTTTTATGAAACGGTCAAATAAAATGAACATGTTATCACCGGTATGTGAATAACTAGATGCATCAACCGATTCAAGGAACATACTTCCTCGGGGAGTATTCACTAAGAAATTTATGAGTTCCCTTCCTTTTCTGTCCCTCCATCCATCTGCCATTAAGGAACATTCATATGTTGTATTTTCAACCTCATTTTCATTCATAATTTTCTTAGTGTGCATGTTTTCAAGCTTCTACATCGGGACTCGGACCTCGTGATAGCTAGGTGGTTTCATGCCGCAACCATGTCTAGCTATCGCTTCAATTGCTGGCCCTAGACTGTCGTATTTCACAACATTGAATGCCACACCGGCATCATACATCCAACGTGAAAACGTTTGGACTGCATCTGCTCTTAAACTTTTTTGGACATCTTTATGTTGTGGAGTTCCAACCAAATGCCCATTTTTCTTACCCACTGTTTCAGATTGATTGTAACACGCATGCATAGGCCCTTTAGTGTTTTTATTAGTTGCGGTTGATCCAGAAGATGAAACAGGGCAATGCCTCTTTTGAGTGTTCAATTCGTCATCATCTACTTTATCTAGATCCACAACATCATCAAAGTGTGGTATGCTATTCATTGCCTCTTTTGCTGGTTTCTTCTTATCAAAAGTTTCTTTAAAGAAAGCTTTTACCTCAGCTGGGACTTTTGAACACTTTGCTACTTGAGCAGTGTCACCAGCAAGGTGGTGCTTGTGCCTTGTAATCTCCCCTCTTGACACAAAAGAACATAAATTACATTGCACCCATTGGCTATTTCCTTCAACCTTTGTCTCATAAGCCCATCCAGGATCAATTTCTCTTTTATTAGCCATTTCTAAGAAAGTAGTAGTGATCAAAACATGATTTAGAAGTGTAATACTAAGCCTAATCATCAAACCAAAGTAAAAAAGCAAAACGTGAATTAGAAGTGTAATACTAAGTCTAACAACAAAACCAATTGAAAACAAAAAAATAGAAAAGAAAAAAAATGCAAAATCTTCCAATCGGACCTGAAGTCGCCGGAGAAAACGTTGCTCGAAGCTAGAGAAGTCACCGAAATAATGAAGGGGTTCGCTGGAGGTGGACGCATGGATTTGGAGGCAAAGCAAGTCCAAAGCGTAGAGGGGGGAGGCGAAGTAGCGAACGACTATTGATTTTAGTTAGCGTAAGTCGTCAACTCAACCCTAATACGTTTATTCAGCCTTTTTTTTTTAAATACCCGTCGCTATATTGGCGGCTTTCTGCCACTATTTGCTCCATAGCGGTCGTTCGCCGCTATGCCACGCTATTCGCTATAGCGACCGCTATGGTCGCTATTGACAATTGTGATCCACGTCCCCATCCCCAGTCAAATCGGAGATTTACACGGTCAACTCGGGTTAGGGTTTCGGATACCCTTCGGGTATAGGTTTTTTTTGTCATCTCTACTCCTAACCACCAAAGACAAACATAAATACATTCACGTGATGCATCAAAATGAGAAATAATAATAATAATAAAATTCTTCTTCTCTCTTTTCCCAGGCAAATTCCTAAATTCTAAATTTTGTAATATTTGATATAAATGAAGCTCTGATTTATGATGTTGTAGTTATATTATTAACTTAATTTATAAATCGTTAATTTTCGTTATTTATTTTCATTTGGAGTTGAAAGATTTTTTATTTAAACTAGAAGCTTTTTGATTTTTTCGTGTTTTTCCTTAAAAACTAAAAGCTCTAGCAGACCCTTGAAGACATAAAACCCAGCAAAGAGATATTTATATTATGTTTTGGGTGACATACAAGGAGAAAGTGGCATGGGGTATACAATCAATCAACTTATAATAAGAACTCCAGATGCTTGCTTGCTTGCTTGTTGGTATTAATTAAATAACTAAAAGATAAGTTTTGTGAGCAAATGACATTTACAAGCTACTCCTTCCTACCAAAACATGCTATTGCTGCTATACCACCAAATACGCTTCTCTTGTACAAGTCAGTTGATCACAAAGAATCTATTATATTATACCACACCTGTTATACATACAAAACCCACCATTAGCAATCAATACTATCAACTATTTTACATAAAATTTATTTTTCAAAAAAAACAAAACTCACCAAATAAGGTTCTGGAAGTGCTCTCTACCTTGTACCTAGTCTTCTTCTAAAGGTCAAAATTTGTTCAGGAGAAAAAAAAACAATCAAAAAGTGGTATTCCTTTCGGTTTCAATTTCAATTGAAATTGAAATTTTCAGACCACTTTCTTTTTTATTTTTATCTCTCTTCTTCAGAGTCTGATTCAATTGATAAATATAATCTTGGTCTTACAGAACGCTTTTGCTTAGGAAACGAGAAAGGGTTATCAGATCTTTCTCTTTTGCTACTTCCATTCATTCCAGTAAGCAAAGAAGCTGCAAACAAAATCATCAGATTAAAAACCACATATATATATATATATATTATAATATATATATATATATATATATATATATATATATATATATATATATATATATTATAAATATTCTATACATATATCTAAAAACAAACAATACCCGTATCCGCCAACGAATCCAACCCACCATCTCCACGCAGCGGTTCCTGACCGGAGTTTAACCCGTTCGCAGCGGTACTTTCAAAATTCACCCCACTGCCGCCAACTCCACCGCCACCACCACCACCGCCAAGGCTGAGTGAAATCCAATCGTCACCCTGCAAACCATTTGACACAGACGGGGGATCTCGTAACTCCGCTTGCTCCGCCGCCACATCAGCTTGTCTCGTCGGAAGAAAGAGCTGAAGCGACGGATCATCGTGTCCATACGCTAACGGGTTATCAACCAACCCGTCGTTTATGTCGAGGGTATTTTGGTAAATTGACGATTCGGGAAGTAAGGGAACAGAACCCATGGGGTCCATTTGGTTATCATCTGAACCGAATAACTGAAAGCTAGGCCCCACTTGACTAGTGGAAGGTAATGACCAAAAGGGTACCCCAAAATCATCTTCATTGGTGTTAAAAAGCCCAAGACACGAACTCCCACCAGGTATAAGACTCGGATCTTCCGGATTTGGAAGAGGGGTAGAAAAGGAAACTCCGTTGTTTTTGTTTTTATAAACCGGTTCAGGTTCAGGTTCAGGTTCAAGTTCAAGTTCAGTCTCTTCTTCTGAATCACTGAGGACAATAACATCATTGAAATTGAATCCGTAGTTTGGTGAAAGGGATCCGTTGGTGGTGGAATGACCAAAATGCCCTCCTCCTCCTCCTCCACCGGACTGATTAATACTAGGATCTTCACTGTTTCTACCATTTCCAGTAGCACTACTGCTCATGGGAATACCAGAGTGGATAATACCATTTAAGTTTTCGGGTTGTTTATTCCCTGAAGAAAGAGAAAGCGGGTTTTCTGGTTTACTGACTTCCCATATTCCGTTTCGGTTTTTTTTAATCCCGAGTTTTAGACTTGTATGACCTTCTGAAACGCCTTCTTGTTTGACTTGTTTTAAAGCTTCTGGTTTTGGTTTTGGTTTGGATTCTACTTCCATGGGAATACTACAGAGAGTTCCATCGGGTGAATGCCATTGTGAAAGTTCCCCTAAATTTTTTATATCTTTTTCTGCCTTTACACGCCAACATCCATCTGGTTTCACTTCAATTTCTGTCACGTCGTCTCCACAGTTCCTCATCTTTATCATAAAATTTAAAAAATTAAGAAAAAATATATATCGAAAAGGAGAAAAAAGATATATCGAAATGATACTCTCTCTACCTTGGTTGTGATACGAGTGAAATATGGATCGATAATCACATTCTCCAAGGAGTAGTTCTTTAGACATATGGGGCATTGCCACTATATAAATGAGAATAAAAACAATTACAAAACAAAAACATAAAACAATAATAATAATAATAATAATTTATGTTGTATAGACTATAGAATATAATGTTTGCCTTTCGTGAACGTTGATTCATTTGTACAAATACATCAAGATCAAAGCAGCCCATGTGAGCACAAGGTTTGAATCTTCCAGCAATTTTCATTCTTGAACCACTCATCTGTAGCGTGCATGACATGTCAGATAATGTTGACGGATTTTATATAATTATAAAAAAAAAAAAAAGAAAAAAAAAAGTTACTTACTGGGCAGCGGAGATTAACGGGTATAGAGTCGGCAACAACCTCCAAATCACTGTCGCTGCCTGCATTTTCTGCAGTGGGCCCACCGCCAACACAGCGACAAACACGTGCAAGCGCGTCTTCAAATCTCTCACCATCAGATTCTTTGGGAATCATATTCATAATCTTTTTTGGTACAAACAATAACAATATTAAAAATTAAATATATAATACCATATTCATATTATATGTTAAAAAAGACGATTTTGCCCTCTCACCTGTTGAACTGTGCGGCGTTTCATGATTCTGACACCCAAACAGAAGACTCGAGCATCAACGCCTGTCAAGGAAATTTTATTGCTTCCATCACGGGTGTATGGCATGATCTGAAAAATAAATAAATAAATAATAAATAAACGTTAATAAAAAAAATTAAATTAAAATTGATTAAAACTTACAAGTGGGCCATCATCACGGCCATTGGCTCCAAGAAGTTGGGAGCCAGGTCTATTGAGAGCTCGAACAGGCATACCTAAGAGGACACAATAAGTCAAAAAAAAAAAAAAAAATTAAATTTTAAATAATTTATCAATTCAATATAATCATACCATTGATTTGTAAATCTGCATATTGTGGCCATTGCATCCGAAAAGAAACCTTGTCATTCAAAAGCATACACCAAGCCTATATTTGTGATCATTAACATGTTATTAATATATATATAATTTTTTTTTGCTATAATTAATTAATCATCAAAATTCAAACCTGAAGTTCAAACTCTGGTTTTGCCAACAAATCCCGGTCAGCTTTTGTAAGCTGAAAAGTTTTTTCAACACTCTGTACTGGATTTGTACTGAAAATTTTATTTAAATCAATGTCTGATATCTATAAGAGCATGCAAAACTATATTAAATTAAAAAGATAATATAGAGTTAAAAGGTTATAGACTAACCCATCTGTAGGGACATTTGCAATACTCAGCTTCACAGGATATAAAGGATGTCCCATAGTTACCCAGAATCTGCATATAAAGTTTATAAAAAATTAAACCAAGTTTTTAACAGAAGATGAATTATTTTATATAGTTTGTATATATTACAAGGATTTTAAGGAAAAAAAATATATAATTTTATGGAGTAAACTTACGGATCTGCACGTCCAAGTCTACAGATTTCACAATAGAAAACTGGAGGAGGTGGTGGAAGAATACCCTCCATTGGCTTTTCAGGGATAATAACACAAGCAATATGCTGCCATACGTTGCATTTTTTATCTTCACACTGAGATGAAAAGTGAAAATTTTCAAGATTATTAGCATATAGAGATTCTTGTGTTAGAAAAGATAGAAATACTGAAACATTAATTGATGTATCTCATGTAAAGTTATAGATAGTTATAAGAAAGTGTAATAAGTCATAACTAATTAACCATAAACAGCTTCAAGGGGCTTTATCTAAAAATATGAGAACTAAGGGTTATTTCACACTAATTGGGTTACTTAAATCTAATTCAAAGAAACTAGGGTTGACCTTTTTGCAATATAGGAAGAATTGGAAAGCAAGAGTCGAGAACAGAGACATGTGAGCAATAAAAACGTATGAAGGAGAAGAGATAGGCTGATAAAAAGACAAAAAGTAAAAACCTTTATCATCGAATCTGCTTGCAGTGAAGTTCCACATGGACATCGAACTTTTTCACTCTGATAACTATCTTCAACTTCCTCCTTGAATGTTGTATTATTATTAATGGTGACATCTGAAACACCCTGACCTTTTGATGCCAACTCAGTTGCCCCTGGGATCTGCAGCTTTCTGGGGACAAAAGAGTAATTATGTGTCAAGATAAACTGAAGGACAAAGGAATTGTATGTATAAAATATAACACTTTTATATAACTAAATATGAAAAGGATAAACACCTGTACATGTCATCAACTAGTTTTGCCACCTCTTCTTTCCTAACGACACTTTTCTTAGCCCATATCCCAGAAACTGCTCCAAATCGCATAGTAATGCAAGGTTCATTAGGTTAAAAAACACAAAGTATTTATAATAATGAAGTAAAGAAGCAAGTGACTACACGAACACCAATACATGATAGATAAATATTTGATGGGGAAGTACCATTTACCTCTGTCATCTGAAATAATAGCTAATATCCGGTCAGCAAGATCCTAGAAGCAATAAAAAGAATTTAAGAATGAAGAATTTTGTTTCCTTGTAACTTATAAGAAGCCAACTGAACATTGAAGAAGATATAAATTATGAAGATGCACTAGTTGAACACTGAACCTGTTTCTTTCCCTGTTTGGAAAGCCCAAGTTGAGTAAGAATATCTTTAAGCTCTTTTATACGAAAATGTGTCAATTTTTCCTATAAAACAACAACAAATTAACAAATAGATATTTGCACCACTCAAAGATTTCTCATAAATCTCATAAATCCATAATCTTCACCATCTACAAAGTTGACACTAATTGTAAAACAACAGGAACAACCACAGAGATCACCCATTGACATTGAAACCACAAAAACCTAAACAACCATTAGGGACAGACATAATTGAAACAATACCTTACAGCTCGTTACCAAATCCATCTTTATCTGAATAAATAGATTGCACCTAATCAATCAGCAGCAATCAAACCGATAAAAACAGCTCATCTCCTTCCCCAAAATCGACGACCGATCTAATGGAAAATGTTCAAACAGAAGACGCAATTAAACACCTTTCAAACATATTAGAAAACAAACAATTCCAGAATAACAAGATCAAAAGTGTTCCATTCGGCCTAAAATCGAAGAGAGATTAGGGCGACTTACATGATGAATAAAGTTAGGGCATGAATGGAAACGATGATCGGAGAAATCGGAGGTTTTCAGAGTATTCGGTGAACTCGGAACCTTACGCCGCCGACTTCACTTTTCTCTCTCACCGATTTCCCTGTTTTGATTGATAATCGAGGTCGGAAAATTAAATCGATAATCCTTACTCCAATTACAAAGTTGAACGGACGTGTAGGCCCTTGTGCAATCCGATTAAGTTCATGCAACCAAATCCGGGTTTGGATTCTCTGTTCCTTACGTGTATTTTAATATTCCTGGGTCCTATTCCGTGTTCGTGTACTTTACTGTACATTCATCTCTTTCATAGAAATTGGGTTATTTGTGGTGGGTGGTGACGCTTACGCCTTAGGATTGCAACATGTGTTCGTAGATTCCAATGGCCCGTTCAAATACGGGTCGAAACTTTTTTTTTTTTTTTTTTTTTTTTTTTTTGCAACATATAGTTCATGTGGAAAAATATATATTATCTAAAAAAACAAATATGATAACACGTTTCGGTGCAACCTTCTTCATTTGCACCGGACTATCATATGTTCGATTCATATGGTATAACATATGCTTGATGTACAAAACGTAACATTTGATCCGAAAACATATAATCTATGTGGTAGAGTTTAACTTTGGTGTTGGAGGTCATCTTGAACTTGTTTGGTTGCTAAATATGGTTAGTGTCAAGCTGAACAGTCTTTGTTAAGTTCTTTTAAACATAAAAATTTACATGAATTTATTGATTCAAATAGTGACACGACTTGTCAGTTTCATAATCTTCATCAACATCATCGTATGAATCATTACTTTCTTCTTTTGAATTAACAATATGAGGAACCATGTAAGTCTATACATTCATCAAAAGTTTTAAGCCGTTTTGAGAAAATTGTGTGGTTTTTTCGACAGGAAACTGGTTCATGCATAAATAGTATGATGTTTGGATCAATCATGTTCGCATGTGTCAAATCATTTTGTAAGTTAAGATATAAGTTGGATAGTCATTTATGTAATTGTCAGTTGATAGGTTGATATCAAACCCTTCATGAATAAAGGAAATTAGTTAATGGTAGGTGTGTGGTTTTGGTTAATAGATTGATGATGTTGTTAGGTATGAAATATGGCGTCCAAACATAATTACCACATATATTCAACTAACTCATCCATTGATTGGTATGATGGACCATTGAAGAAGGGTAAGCGGGGTTTTTGTTGGCACTATTGTTTCATTGAACTCATAAGGAAAGACATAGGTGAGAAGTTTAGAGTGTTGAAAGATATAGTGATGTTATAATTCTTGAAGAGATATCAGAAGAAGATGATAGTTTTTTAAGGGAACCTAAATATGGCATGTATGTGAAAGACATTTAGGAATGGGTAATCAATATGAAATTAAGGACGATAAAAAAAATACCTTAAAGCTTAAAATAGAGAGGTCTACGAGTGTCTGGTATGAATTCTATTAAAGAAGAGAAAATAAGGGAAGAGAAATATGGAGAGAAAAGAAAGTAAAGGAAATGAAAGTAAAGTGCATTTTTCTATTCCCTAGTTCGAGTGAAACGAAAGAATAATTATTATTTTTTTATGTTCCCAAGTTGGAGGAAAAATAAATGAAAACTAAAAATGGACAATTATACTCTTGTCATATTTTCACCACAATTTCAAATATATACCACACGATTCTCTTGAAAACAAAATTATACCTAAACTTTTTTTTTTCGCCACCTGGTTGCCCGCCTCTCGACTTCTTTACTTTTTTCACATGATTTCTTATACAATAATCATTAACACGTTGGTCATTGTTAATCAAACTTCAAGTATGATCTTGATTTGTATTAATCTTTCAAACAAAATCGATACAAAATGGGGGAAAAGTCAAAAAAAATGCATAACTAGATACATAACATGAAGTATATATAGAGCATAACAAGAAGATAACCAATTAAAGACAAATCAATAAGAAACTGATTTGAAGTCAAAGCAAGAATAATAATAATAAATCAATGTATGAAGTCAAATTGAAGGTTTGTATTGATCGGATACACTTCAAGTGTAAGGAACGAAAATAAGACAACAGAGAACATAAAGTAAATAACACAGAGAGTTCTCCAAATTGTTCTTTCACCGAGAAAGAGTTTTTGTCTTCACCAAGAAGATAGGTTGTCACAAAGGCGATTGACACAAAGTCGAACTCTCTACCTTAGGGTTTACCCTAATGTAGATTATATACTAATCTATGCATGTGTGTCCCATGATTTAAGGGATCACATCTAATCTATACTAAGAACCTATCGTCATAACAAAGATATTGGATATGTTATCTATTCTATACTTATCTGTATCATTACCTAATATACAAGATATTACATATAATAAATATACTATGCGTTGATGTTGATAAGCTTGATACGTTGGCGCTGGTAGTTGAGAAGATGGTGATGCTCACAGATAGTGTAGAGTGTTTGACTTATTAGATCATAAGGTGTGACCTTACAATCTCCCCCTATTTGATGATGTCAAAACTAATCTTCTTGAAAGTCATCAGAAGAGCCATTGTGAAACTTGTCAGCTTCTTTCAAGATCTCATGCTTGACCCATCTGAATTGATCGATTTTAAGTTCATCTAGTGTTCTACTAAGCTTTAGATATATCAGCACACAATATCCTTTTTCCAGTTCAAAATGACCAAGTCCTTCTAAGTATAGATGAAACAAATGTTCAGTGGGAGCAGATGGAAGATCATCAGTGCATTGAAAGCACATTTGATTCTGACTGTCAAGATAAAAAATCTCATGCTCAGGTTCTGGAATGAACATGTATTGTACTATTTCAACAATCACTGGTAATTCATTGTTGATGCATCAAGTGCTATGAGGAAGAAGAAACTTTGTATTTTTGGACTATCTGGGAGCACATGTTCTTCTTGAGGAGGAAGATCTAGATGGACATGTTGATGGCACAAGGTTCAACTTCTTGACTTTACCGAGCAGTTGCTAAATTGCCCACTTCACTTCCTGAGCATGAACACTCTTGTGTTTGTCAATGATTTCTTGAATTTGCATCCACTCACTGTAGCCAAATTTGACTAGCTCATGAGAAAATACAACTTCAATGTACTCATACTCGTTTTTCTTCTTAACCATATGAGCTTTAGTGACTTATTTCTTGGTTTGGTGCATCTCACTTTGATAATAGGATCAAGCTTTGATCCGTAAGTAAGAACGTCTCCAAACTTCTTCTTGTCTATCCGGTCATTCAGGTTTGAAACCCTATGTTGTTTCTCCACACTATTATTGAAATTTTTAATTTTCTTGACTTGATCATTAGAATTTTCATCAGTGGAGGCAAAGGGCTAAAGCAAGTTTGGCAGACATGCACTCTCCTTTTCTAGCTTCCTTCATCTGTCAAATAGCAGCATTATTTTCCATCATGATCTACGTTACTTCATCAACAGATAACCTCCATGATGCAGATAACTCATTTAGATCAAGGATGAGTTTGCTTTTCTTGGATGGAGGGGGTGTTGAAGAATCATTAGCGGCAGAACTTCCAGCTTCAACGTCATGAGCTCCCCCTTAGAAGGAATCCTTCTTATTTTTGAGGATTGACCTAATCAATGTCAGAATCAATATCACTATTTGTTCCTTGAGGAACCTCCCCATCAAAGTAAGAATCATGATAGACAACATTCAAAGGAACATCAGCTTGTGGCATAAAACCAAGATTAAGAAACCCTTCACAGTTATCGGTATTTGATTAGTCATCAATGTCAGGAATGGGTTGTTCATCGATTGTTGCATCAGCGTCTGGAATACCAGTAACAAGAATTTCATTTTAAACAACTTCAACCCTTCCAGTTTCAGACATCTCAGACTGAGATGGAGTTGGTGCAATTACCACCATTTGCATTTGTTGATCTGGACCCATTTGATTATTCTTCCCCTTTTTGCAACATTAGATTGGGGAGGAGAGTTAAGAGGGGGTGAAGGAGTGCGAGGAGGATTGAGGATGAAGGTGGAATGCAGGAAGGTTATCACCTGGAGAGTTTGTTGGAGTGTCATCAAAAACCATATCATCATCATCATCATCACCTAGAGCCATAAGTCGCTTCATCACAACTACATCCCTTTCAACTTTATTCAACCATTTATCCATTGATTGAGTTAACTGTATAATTAGGAAGAGTTGAGAAAGCACAACAGTTTGAAAGTTGGAGATGGATTCTTACTGATTATCCTGATGAAGAGTTACAGTCTTGATGGGAGATGACATAGGAAGAACATTCTCAGTTTGAGGAGAAGGAGATGATGACTTATCTTGGATTATTGGTTCAGTAGTTTCCATAAAAGGAGGGGTTGATCCATGTTGTACAAAAACATCTACAAAGTGAGTGAATGAAGAAGTAGATGCAAATCGAATGTGTTTGTTCATCCTTGGAGGAGAGTTCATTCCCTGAGCATAGACTTCTCCCTTATAAGTGGTTGATTCTTCTTCATCTTTATCAGTGTCTTCTTCTTCATCAACCCTTTCATTATTACCAGCTTATGTATCGTTATCATCATCATTCTCATCTACATATGGTTTTTCACATAGTAATGACAAATCATATTCATATGGAGTGGCATTAATAATCTTTGAGGAAAGGGTAGGAATTGGAATGATAATCCTGTGACTTTCAACATATCCTACATCTCGATACAAGATTAGTCCAAGCCAATGATGATAGGGAGCATACAATGGCTTCTTGTTCCCAATAATGCATTCAGACATCTAATGAAGAAAAGGTTGAGTAAAATCAAGTCTTTTATTGTACACAATAGAATATAATATCCTTTTCTCAAAAAGATTTAGCGGATCCAAACTCCCAATTTTGTTAAATACTTCCATCCTGTATTAAAACACTAATGAAGAGTGTTCTTGTAAGGATCAAGAGTGAGGCCCTGAAGTTTGAAATTATACCCTAATTTTTCATGAATAGATTTGCAACTTTCTTTAGAGGGAGTTTCAGAGTAACTTTCAAATCGAGGAAGACGAAGAGCAGTTAGAAAGGATTCCACATCAATAGCAACCCTATATTAACCATCTCCAATGGTTCCAATAATGTTTTGAGCATCAGTGTCAACAGAACATGAATACTAGAATTCATATACTTGTTTAGGGTAGAATGGATATGGGAAGTCGTAAAATGCATTTCAAAGAGGACAACTCCTGACATGGTTAACGAACTCTTTGATTCCTAATTTTACGAACTGCTTTGGTATTTCATCCGAGAATGCCGCATTGGTCAATTGAATGATAATGGGAGAGTCAGGGGCATGAGGGACTTTGATGACATTAGTATTGGGGGTAAACTCGGACAGAGGTTTTGACATGGTAAAAGCTTTGAGGAAGATGATGGTTGAGTCTTTTTAAGAGAGAGGGAGAGAGAGAGAGAGGGAGAGATAGAGAGAGAGAAAGAAAGAAAGAAAGAGATAATTGCTTGAATCGCTTGTAAAAGTGACCTAGGATGGTGAATTCCTAATTTATACCAAACAATTTCTTCCTTTTTATGTAATCATGACTGAAGAGATCTTCACCGTAAAAATCATATCCCAAGATAATGATGGACCTTTTAATCGTTATCTAAATACTTACCGTTGAGATAAGAAAGATGCATATGTGAGACACGTCATTAGCAACAATGAATATTAGCATAAGCGATCAACGAGTGAATTTATGATGGTCACCCAGTAAGTTTGTGATGCCTTCCGATAGTATGGGCTTACACTGCATTCACTTACATAGTATTGCGAGATTTCATCATCATGTGGTTTTATATGGTAGCTCATTAATCACTTTTATTTCAAGAAAAGGGCAAGAATGGTATATTGCGTGTAACACATTCCGGTATGAAATGTACCTATCGACAAAGAGTGTCGACGTTTTATCAGTGTATGGGTAATATAGAGAATCATTAACTTCTTAATAGAAGAATTATTGGAAAAGAGTGGGTAGGTGCATGTAATATATCGATATACCCATCAACACTGATTTTTGGAACTCTCATCAGCGTTTGGTATCTGATATGTGCATATCTAGTTTGTAAAAAGTATAGATTTTTATTCATTTATTAGCTAAATTATTGCATTTCATGGACAAAAGGTACTTAAAAGTGTTTGAATTGTATTTTCAGTCCAAAAATGAAGCTCGGAAGCGAAAGGAAGCAGGAGAAGCGGTTAGGAGCTCGGGAATTGAATAAAGAAGAAAAACACCAAAAATACCACCTACTCGGCGAGTAGGGTCGACTACTCGGTGAGTCCAAGTGAAGATTTGAGAAGATAATGACTCGGGAACCCAGATACTTATCGTATACAGGAGTTGTGAGACGGACTCGACGAGTCGTCACCTGACTCGACGAGTCGATACGTGAATATATAGATAACTTCTCAAATCGAGGAAAAAACTTCTGGGACAATTCTGGAGCAATTAGCTGCGATTCAGAGGCTAGAGAAACCCTACAAGACGAAGATAGAAGCTACAATTCAATCCCGAATGAGATTTGAGGCAAATTTCACCATTCAACTTAATCTTTTGTTTTTCATTATGGTTAGGCAATTAGAATTCGTTTTTATGCTGTTATTTACTTCAATCATGAGCTAAAACTGTTAACTTCTGTTTGGGGATACAAAATTGAGACTATGGTTTGATTATTGGTAGGATTAATCCAATGTTGGTGATTTATTTGTTATTTTAGCTTGCTAAAGAACCTTGTGTGTGAATGATAATTAATTTTCTGTTAATAGGAAGGTAATTAAATAGCATGAACATCGTTTGATTATCAACCTCATATACCATGTGACTACTTTGCTATATGTCTATGATTAATGAACATGAAACTAGAATTAATAAGAAAATTAAGTAAATTCATGTGCAAGCTTGTGTGATGACCATCAACAAGAAGTTAATTAAAAACCAAATTGATTAACTATTGTGAGTCTAAAATAATCCGAATAATCAATCTAGTGAACTAAATTGAATTAGACAACTGATCACTGTTTAAGTTAGTTTATTTACTAAGGATTAGTGTAGTGAATGCGAACCTAGTCACTTGAATCGGTAACCAACAAAAGAATTAATCCATTGCACTATTACCTTGAAATCAACCATAGGATCAATTGAGTTGAACTAAACAGAAGTTCCTTCGTATTATTGAATCTAGTTAATTCTTTGTTTTTTCTAGCTTTTAGATTAAGTAATAGTTAGTAAGTTTCTAGTCTTGCAAAACTAGAGAAAACCCTCTACTTATTAATTAATTTAGATAGAATTAGTTTTTATTTTTAATTTGTCGCTCCCTGTGTTCGATACCCTACTTGCTTGAACTATACCACAATTGATAGATCCACTGCCTTTGTGTGTTTATTTTACAACTAAAAGTAGGTTTAAAACTAAGTGAGTTTACGCACATCAAGTTTTTGGCGCCGTTGCCGGGGAACGGTTCTAAAGTTAGCATTAAATTCTAATTCAATCGATCCTTTGTGTGAGATTTATCTTACACAAAGTTAATTACCGTTTAATTTAGTAGGTAAAAAAAAAAAAAAAAAAACTCTAAATTTTTCTGATTTTACCTTGGACTCGCCGAGTGCACTCATGCAGACTCGGCGAGTACATCACTGAAACAACTTAAATTTTTATTTTATTTTTGTTCTTTTTACGCGTTTTCTGTTTTGTTTACAGTTGTTTCATGACCCGAGGATCTGATACACCTCTGGTCCCCCCTCTTGAAGATCCGGAAACCACACTAAGAAGGAGCAAAGGCAAAACCGTTGGAGAATCCGTTTCTTCAAAGAACTCACCACTCAAAAACCTCAAGTCTGTTTTCAGCAAGAAGAGAAGCAACAAATCAGGAGCATCCAGTGCCTCTTTGACAATCGAAGATCCGATTCAAAAAGACACCGAGTACGAGACCGAGGAAGAGGACGAACCCACATACGAGCACGAATCCGAGTTTGAAGACGATTTAGCTACCGCTATGGCTAATATCGATGAAGTCCCCATGGGGGAATGGAAGAAGAGGATGCGTGATGACACTGGCCCGGGACTTGTGCAGCCCGCAATTCCTGCAACCGTTACTTTCGAGTTAAAGGGCCATATTCTCGCTTAACTCAAGGAGATTCCTTTTTATGGGAAAGATCACGAAGACGCCTATAAGCACTTGGATGAAGTAAATGATGTGGCTGACTACTTCAATGTACCAAATGTGCCTTGCGAGACCCAGCTACTTCGCATGCTCCCAGTCACGTTTAAAGGTGCTGCGAGGGACTGGCTCAAGTCACTTCCTCCCGGATCGGTCACCACATGGGCTAAGATGAAAGAGGAATTCATAAACCACTTTTGCCCACCTTCCAAGATAGCTAAGTTAAAGAAAGCCATCGCCAACTTCGAGCAACAACCTGGTGAATCTCTTTATGAAGCTTGGGAAAGATACAAAGGTTTGCTTAGAAATTGCCCACACCATGACCTTAATAGCCAACAAGAGGTCTCCATTTTTTAGGATGGAGTCAATGTCACCACAAGGCAATTGCTCGATTCACAAGGCCCGCTCACCAGAAAGCCGCCTCCGGAAATCAAGGAGTTAATTGAGGAATTCTCTAAGCATTCTAGAGAATACCACAATCCGAGAAATGAAGTAAGTCGGGGAGCAGTGAACTCGGTGAATGATAGCATGGCGGCGGTAATAGCTAAGCTCGATAGTCTAGATAGAAGGATGACAAAAATGGATCAAACAATCCATGCTATTCGAGTTGGATGTGAGAATTGTAGAGGGACCCACCTCACCAAAGATTGTGATCTAGACGAAAATGGAAATAAGAAGGCTCAAGTGTTTTACTCTAGTAGCGATAGATACGACGAGGATTGGCGGGAACCGAAGAAGGAATGGCTCCCATACGAAGAATATAAAAAGGCTAAGGAGGAGAAGTACAAGCAGAAGGAGAGGGGATTCTATCAAAAGGAAGAACCGGTGATGGAAAAGAAAGGCAATTTAGAAGAAATGCTCACTAGATTCATAACCGCATCCGAAAAGAGACACAATGATCACGATGTAGCAATGCAAGAGACCAGAAATATGTTAAGGAATCAGCAGGCATCTATTCTCAATATTGAGAAACAGCTGGGACAGCTTGCACATCAAGTGAATGAAAGAAGACCGGGCCAACTTCCAAGTAACACCGAGAATAATCCAAGAATGGAAAATGTGAGTATGGTGACTTCCAGCTGTGAAAAATTTTTCACACATGCACAGAGGGTCTCTAATAGCAAGACAGAGAAGACAGAAGAGTCGGTTCCAGCTAAACTCGACCCGACTCGCCGAGTCCCTCAAATGGACTCGACGAGTCCATGCGTACAAGACAAACTGCCATCCACTTGAAGCCATATAATCCCCCTCTGCCATTCCCAATCAAAGCCATGCC